CCGATTCAATTTCAATTGACAACCCATTCATCCACTCTTCCCTCACTTCACCCTTTAGGCGCTGTACCAGAATTGTACGCGGACGATCATTGGGGCGCCACCACTGGCTCTGCCAGCCACCCAGAATCCCCCAATGTTTCCCTCAGGCCAACCCGCGGCGCTACGACCGCAAGCCTCAGGCGCGAAATCTCTTCGCCTCCGCTTTTTACCCTTACGAGGAAAACCAAATCTCGCCGTTTCTCCATCAACACATCGCCCTGGCCGCTGTCCCCGCAATCTGGCCCTCTCCATTTAAGGTCTCGCGTCACTTCACGCTACTTCTGGATGCGGCTTCTCTCCTTGATTTCCATTCCTGCCTGGACCGTCGCTCTCTATCCTCTCTCTTCCCATTCCCTGTAGCCATGGGTATCCCGTGAGTCCACAATTTCTTACCCTACACAACTTTCGCCGCTGTCGGGATTCTACACGCGACTCCATCGGCCAAGAGCGCACGGAACGGCTGTCATATCTGACTGACATGACGCAGACTGTTTTGCGAGTCCTCCGCAGATGCTCCGAAGAACAATGCTGTCAAAGACCCATGTGCCGCTGCGCGCTCCGCAATTCGTCGCCAGGCTACTATTCGTCGTCCCTCGCGCTATGGCGGCTCCGCGTTGCGCAGCGCAACTCTCCGGTCGCCTTTCCCTCGTCCGCTAGCAGATGAGATTGAGCGTGAGGCGAATGGTCTTCAGCGTCATGTGCGATCTCCGCTTTCGAATTCTAGCAGCGCCGACGACCCGTTCGACCTGGCCCGCGGCCTCCTGGATTCCGATAGACGCGAAGCCGGCCAGCGACTGCTGAGCGATGCGCTCCGTCATGGGCGGCCTGGTCAGCGATTGAGGATACCGCGCAGCTCGGCCCTGCCCGATCTATACAACCGTCCATCGCCGGGTGATGACACGACAAACAGGCTTGACCAGACTCATCCCCAGTTCACACCGCGTTTTGCTCCTGCGATTGCATACCATAGGACTGCGTCTCCACAAGCGCGCCCAGAAGCTGCTCGGCTATCTCCATACCTTCGACCAGATGGCCTTGGAGGTGATCTTTCGATCTCAGCGGGCTTCCCTACACTGCGACGTGTCGGTGAACGATCGATCAATGAGGCGAATCGTCCCAACCGCGAGTCGGCTATTGATGGACTTGGCGACCGACAGAGAAGCCTGAGTCCAGATGACGACCATGCTAACGATGCATGGGAGACTCTCCTTACTACGATCACGCCGGATACCAATCTTCCGAGTGCCGATTCGTCCTTCACTTCCGCATCTGCATCTGGAACGAATGCGTCGACAATCGGGACTTCCAGAAGTTCGGCAACCTCGCTGCAGAGTCTGCCGAACCCTATGGACTCGAGCACGGGCACTGTACAGATGGTCCTTGATCCATACCCCGAGTTCCTAAACCCCTGTGACTATTCAAGCTCCAGTGATTCCGACAGCGACTCCGAAACCGGGATCTCTGGAAACGCATTGTTCCGCCGCTACCGTCGTGTTCGCCAGATGGAGTCGCTGAGACGGGCCCAGCATCTCCAGTCAACCATGAGCAACCACCCTCTTATCCCTACCATCTCCTTTGCATTTTCCGATTCTTCTTCTACCTCTACCGATCCAGACCTGCAGCAGATGCAAGCCATCTTAGATCGACTTGCGCGTCGCGAGGATATCCCAGAAGAATGGTGGGCGGCAGCTGGACTGTCCCGCACCCTTGGCCGCCGGCTCGGCGCGAACGATGACACTAACGACACTGATAGCGTGGATGGACCGCTCAGGTCGAGGTGATCATATACCTTTCTGTCACTGTGTTAGATATCGAGTGTTTAGTTATTAGGTCATCTGGGGATGCTTGTGGTTTCGAGTTGTTCTTAGCGGGGGTTTCTTGTTTGGCGTTATGGTGTCGCAGCCAGGGTCAGTCGGCTGAATAAGTTATGGACAGGAATTTCCCATTATGAGGTGGAATTGATCTGAAGTGCATATTCGGGCACCTATTGTACTCATATATCCTGGCTTGTCTAATGTCATTTGGTGTGAATCAAACCTGTGTGTCGGAACTGTAAGAGTCGTAACCGCTTAGCCTGGGATGGGATACTTCAAGTTGCTGCTAGCCGTGGGCATGTGACCTCATGCATTGACCAGTTGCTCCTTCAATGGCAGTGCGAACGGCTTTTGACTATCCCACATAAGCATTACCATCTATGTTCCACCATCTTGGACCCCAAGAAATACAAAAGCACCATAAACATGCCAAGTTTACTTCATCCACAGTCTACAAAGTATAACCGGCGGTGCCTGATAAGTTAGCCGGTCCCCTGTGACGTATCTCACTATCGCTGGCCCGGCCGGAGTCAATGCGATCGCGAGACCCCACTCTGACGACAAGCCCCGCCGACTTATTTATCCCATCGAGCCGCCGTCGGAGCTTCTCGCTGCCATCCAGAACTGCCATTCTCCTGTTTGTGGCCCATCACTCGGTACAGGTACCGACAGAGCGTGTCTCGAATCGGACTTTCTCATAGCAAATCTCTTAACCCTATCCAACATCTTCCGCCCTTCAAAGCGTCCCAACCTTTGCATGCACGGGACCACGGATCTCTGTCCTTGAATCCATATAAAACCTACTCCCCAATCTACTTTCCCCATATATATCCCCTTATAATAATACACACACCAATCATGGACGACCAAGTGAGCCGACTGGTCGATAAAATCTGGAGTAAGTCTTCTCTTCCCCGGGGGGCGGGGAGCAACATGCTCCGCAATCAACCCCAGCAAGAAACTAACCAAATCTCCCCAGACAAATTCCAATCCACACCCAAAGACACCCGCCTATTAATTGCCATCAGCGGGATACCCGGGTCAGGCAAAACAGAGCTCGCAACTATGATGGCCAACCGCATCAACCGGCGCTACCTCACACAACACCCTGAGTCACCACAAGTCGCAACCAACGTGCCCATGGACGGCTACCATCTAACCCGGGCACAACTATCTGAGATGCCAGACCCGGCGTATGCCATCGCGCGCCGCGGCGCAGCATTCACCTTCGACGGGGAAAAGTTTCTGCAGCTGGTCCGGGCGCTGCGGGAACAGGTGACGCCTGAGACGCAGAGTCTGTACGCACCGAGCTTTGATCATGCGGTGAAAGACCCGGTTGACGACGATATATTAATTCCGGCGTCGTGTCGAGTGATATTCTTTGAGGGGAATTACTTGAGCTTGAATAAGGAGCCGTGGAATCGGGCGGCTGAGTTGATGGATGAGTTGTGGTTTGTGGAGGTGGATTTTGAGGTCGCGAAGAAGAGGTTAATCAAGAGGCATGTTAAGGCCGGGATTGCGAGTGATGAGGCGGAGGCGGAGAAGAGGGTTTTGGAGAATGATCTGGTAAATGGGAAGGAGATTGTTGATTATAGGTTAGATCTGCAAGAGTTGGTCGTTAGTCGGTATGATCCTGCGTGGGATGCATGAGTGGGAAATGTGGGTGGATGGACACTTTAGAGTTATAGACGTTGGTCAAGACTCGGTGCTTACTAGACTTATACTTATGATTACCCAGATACCTGGATACACGACATGCATGGAGAGATCATATTAGCAATTGAAGACTTGCATTCAATGAACTTTAGCGGATGGACAGCTCTCTTTGGTGTTGTAGATCTTGCTAAAATTAGGTCCAGATCGAAATCTTTATGAAGTTGACTCTCAAGACGAATGACTATCTGCTTCGTACGCCTCTGGACTCTGACAGAGACTAGCTCAAGCTGTGTCCACACGCCACATATTGAATTTGCAACAGACGAGACACACGCAGACAGTCCGGTATTATCCAGAACAGCAAGCAACGAAATTTCTAAAGCAAACATCCCCATTTCCACACACCTTAGATACCGAAACTAGCATTCTGAGTACTTCTTCAGTACTATACATGCATCATACCTCTACGATGGGCAGATCTACCCACCCATACAAAGGCATCCTCAGGACGCTTCACGCTGTGTTAAAGCTGAGGACTTATTCAATATACTACCAGGGTAAACTCTGATCTTTGAACCAGTGCTTTATATGCTTGTGTGTGGCTAGAAAAGGAGAATACAATAACATGGTCAAATTAACGTCGTACGAATGCAGATTTCCAACTATGTCTATGGTAGCTACTAGCTTGAAGCCCAGGTACCACATACAACATCACTTTTCCTGATGCTTAGCATATCCTGCTTTATTGCCGTGGTCTAATGGTCGAAACCAAGGCTGCAAAACAGTGTACAGTTTGTATTGCATTTGCCGCAAGGGCAGACGCAACGGGCCCTCTCCCTACCTAAGCATCTACTGAAAGTAGGTTGCTGGAGACTCGCTAATTGTGATTATTACAAGCTCCTGAGCGCTTAGGGTAAGATATTCATCACAGAGGGTAGTGCAAACTGTTCTTATATTATAACCCTTGAGGATTGTGCTGAATCTCCCTCCGAGCTCTGCAGCTTGTTAGGAAGTCGGTTGACTCCTTACCTAGGACTCATTATGGAGGTGAGGATATTGTTATCCTGGGTTTGCATGTTTCCCTAAGCGATAGAAGCCATTGCTGACTTGGTATTCCGGATGTTCCGACTATTGCTTTAGGGGGTGTGGTAGGCAGTAGGCGGCTGTAGATGATAGTTCCGATGATGCATCAACTTGGAAATGGGGTTATTGAGAGGCATCCAAAAGAGCATGTATATCAGGTACACTCTTAGTACCTATCCATGACTACAGATATCTCTATCCAGTATTCCTTATGTCCACTAGGATCAGGATAGGAGTGAGGCCCGGGCGCTAGCCGAGCTGGTCCCTGGCGGACTCCACCCGAGTCTTCGGGCCATTGGCCAAGACTTCAACCCCCGGCAGCGAAATGAAGGATGGATCGGCAGGGTCGGTGCCTCATGGGGCGGAGTGGTCTGGCCTCACTCTCCTTTTATATTTATACGCCGGTCACTCTTATTCCCCCCAGTCACTTTCCCATAGATCATTCTAGCTTCTCAGCAGTCTCTCTTTTATTGTAGTTGCATTACATCCAGCCAATGCTCGGATAGTCGTTCGTTATTACGTTCTTTTGTTGCTTTGTTGCCTTCATATCCCATTGATTTTCATATGCTTGTTGCTTTGAGCTCTGGGAGCTCGATAGCATCATGTTGTTCGCTCATTTTGCTTTCCTTGTTACACTCCTGGCCTTAGGAGGCCTCACCGTAGCTACACAGACCCGGCCATGTTTGGTGTCTGCCATGAGGTATACCGTGACAGCAGATAGCTGCACTTAGTTGATGTCTCCTGCTAACCCCAGTATAGGTCTCAATCGGATCCTGATAACCTCCAAGACATTTGTGCGACGAACGTAGGCAAGGTGTGGGCCAAGATCGTGGAATTTTGCGGGGATGAGAGACAATCGGCTCTGGAGCAGTTAAAAGACACCTGCACATCTGCAGGTTACACAATTGGTATGTCTTGAATTTGGGTGATGCTTGTGACAAAGATGAGAGACATTTGACTCTACTTATGCAGCATACAAACCAACAGCCTCGTCCGACATCGCGTCCCATTCCACCGCTCTTTTCAGCTCAACCAAGCCTAGCTCCGTCATAGCTAGTTCAACCGGCATCTCCACTTCCAGCTCTGCTCCAGACGCCAGCTCTAGTCTTTGTCCCAGCACTCATCCTAACCAGACCATTTCGTTGGGCTCGGCTGACCGTGGCGCGTCAGCTGCTGCGTTTGCGGCTGTCGTTTTTGTCGGATTTGCAGCGACGTTATAGATTTTAAGTTAGTCCGCTTCGTATGATATCTCAGACGAAACTCTGGACCCTTGAGCATCAATGATGTCGAGTACATATTGTGCGCAGTCCGCGTCACTTTAACCGCGTCTTCTCCACCGGTGTAGGCATTCGTAGGCAGCTCTCCGAAACCCGCTGGTAGGCGGAAAGCTCATACGTAATATATCCTAGTGGGGCCAAGGTTGCATGGGAATCTTGATGGTACGTAGTCGCAGCGCGGCGGAAACCATATCCTGCAAACGGATATACGGTGTCCGAGGCTCGGAGCTGATTTGTAAGAAAGCACGGCAGTTGCTGAGGGACGTGGCGTGAACTGAAAGAAAAACCACACGTGACTGCGCTCGTCGCGCGTTCCCGCCAGCCGGACAAAGATTGGCGGCGCACCAGTCAGCGGGCTCGCATGCAAAGGGCAGCCCATCTAGTCCAAACACGAAAATTCGCGTGGATATCCACCGTAACGCGTTTGCCCCGGCGACATCAAATATCTCCTCCCATCTTTCTGCCCCTCCGTCTTCTCTTTCCTCTCATCTCTCATCCTCCCTCAGCTCCTGTCTTCAGGACATTCTTTCTGTGACGATTTTCTCCTCTCAATCCTCTCCTATACATATCCAAGCCTTCTTTTCTCTACTACAGTAATATTATATCCATATACCCTTTGTTCTAGTTTATTTTCTCGTTGTCTATAACCTCACTGTCCAAAATGTTTGTCTACAAGAGAGGTGAGTGCGATTTGCATACATTCCTCTGTTCTGGATGGAATGAACGTCCGTCGATTGAGCAGAAGGGACCTTGCCACCCCTGCAACAGTCAGTGCTAACTTTGAATCTAGACGGACGCAAAGAACGCGTGCAGTTCGACAAGATCACTGCCCGTGTGTCAAGGCTCTGTTACGGCCTTGACCCCGAGCATGTCGATGCTGCTGCTATCACCCAGAAGGTCATCTCTGGTGTCTACCAGGGTGTCACCACCGTTGAACTCGATAACCTGGTAGGTTTGCAGCACTTATGATTGACAGAGCAAGTGCTGATGTGTCGACTTAGGCTGCTGAAACCGCTGCGTACATGACTGTCACACATCCCGACTACGCCATCCTCGCTGCCCGTATCGCCGTTTCCAACCTCCACAAGCAGACCAAGAAGCAGTTCTCGTTGGTCATTTCAGATCTCTACCACTATGTCAACCCCAAGAACAACCAACCTGCGCCAATGATATCAAAGGAGACATACGAAATAATCATGAAACACGCCGATGAGCTTAACTCGGCTATTGTGTACGACCGTGATTTCAACTACAACTTCTTCGGCTTCAAGACCCTGGAGCGGTCATACCTGTTGCGGATCAACGGAAAGGTGGCTGAGCGTCCCCAGCACCTGCTGATGCGTGTTGCCGTTGGTATCCACGGTAGCGACATCGAGAAGGCCATCGAGACCTACCACTTGATGTCCCAGAAGTACTTCACTCACGCCTCCCCGACTCTGTTCAACGCTGGTACTCCCCAGCCTCAGCTCGCCTCTTGCTTCCTCGTCGATATGAAGGAGGACAGCATTGACGGTATCTACGACACTTTGAAGACTTGCGCTATGATCTCCAAGACCGCCGGTGGTATTGGTCTGAACGTGCACCGCATCCGCTCTACCGGATCTTACATTGGTGGCACCAACGGTACCTCCAACGGTCTTGTTCCCATGCTTCGGGTCTTCAACAACACTGCCAGATACGTTGACCAGGGTGGCAACAAGCGTCCCGGTGCTTTTGCCATCTACCTTGAGCCCTGGCACTCGGATGTCTTCGAGTTCCTGGACCTCCGTAAGAACCACGGTAAGGAGGAGGTCAGAGCCCGCGATCTGTTCTATGCCCTGTGGACCCCGGATCTGTTCATGAAGCGTGTTGAGGCGAACGGCGACTGGACTCTGTTCTGCCCCAACGAAGCCCCTGGCTTGGCTGATGTCTACGGTGACGAGTTCGACGCTCTCTACGAGAAGTAAGTTTGTTGGTTCGTGTAATCTCAACTCATGCTAATAGTATTGTAGGTACGAGAAGGAAGGCCGTGGCCGTCGTACCATCAAGGCTCAGAAGCTCTGGTACGCTATTCTGGAGGCTCAGACCGAGACTGGTAACCCCTTCATGCTGTACAAGGATGCTTGCAACAAGAAGAGCAACCAGAAGAACCTCGGAACCATCCGTAGCTCCAACCTCTGCACTGAGATCATTGAGTACAGTGCTCCGGATGAGGTTGCTGTCTGCAACCTTGCCTCTCTTGCCCTGCCTACTTTCGTCGATGCTGCTCGCGGCGAGTATGACTTTGGCAAGCTCCACGAGGTCGTCCAGGTCTTGGTCCGTAATTTGAACAAGATCATCGACATCAACTACTACCCCGTCCCGGAGGCCAAGAAGTCCAACTTCCGTCACCGTCCCATCGCTCTGGGTGTCAACGGTCTGGCTGATGCTTTCCTCGCTCTCCGCCTGCCCTTCGACTCGGCCGAGGCCAGACAGCTGAACATCCAGATCTTCGAGACCATCTATCACGCTGGTTTGACCGCCTCGTCCGACCTCGCCAAGGAGTTCGGAACTTACGAGACCTACGAGGGATCTCCTGTCTCCCAGGGTATCCTTCAGTACGATATGTGGGACCGCACTCCCACTGACCTCTGGGACTGGGCTGCCCTCAAGGCCAAGATCGCCCAGACTGGTGTCCGCAACAGCTTGCTGGTCGCCCCCATGCCCACTGCCAGTACCAGCCAGATCTTGGGCTTCAACGAGTGCTTCGAGCCTTACACCTCCAACATCTACTCCCGCCGTGTCTTGGCTGGTGAGTTCCAGGTGGTCAACCCCTGGCTGCTGAAGGACCTGGTCGATCTCGGCCTGTGGTCGGACAACATGAAGAACCGCATCATTGCCGAGGGTGGTTCCGTCCAGAACATCCCCAACATCCCCAGTGACATCAAGGCGCTGTACAAGACGGTGTGGGAGATCTCCCAGCGGACGATCCTGCAGATGGCTGCGGACCGTGGTGCGTTCATTGACCAGTCTCAATCCCTCAACATCCACCTGAAGGAGCCCACCATGGGCAAGATCACCAGCATGCACTTTGCCGGCTGGAAGATGGGTCTGAAGACGGGCATGTACTACCTGCGCACGATGGCCGCCTCTGCGCCCATCCAGTTCACCGTCGACCAGGAGCAACTCAAGGTCGAGGATACCAATGTGGCCCGCACCAATGCCGCCTACAAGAAGCGGGCTGTTGGCGCGGCCTCCAGCACCTACTCTGCTGTTCCCCGTGGCCAGGCCCCGGTCAACGGACACAGCGAGAACGGAGTCAACGGAATCAACGGCTCCAACAATGGCAGCCCTCGGGCTCTTGCTGCGGATGCCTCCTCCACTCAGGAGAACGGCCCCCAGGAGGAGGACAGCCAGCAGGAGAGCGAAGAGCGGGAGAACGACATCTACTCGCAGCAGGTGCTCCAGTGCAGCATTGAGAACAAGGAGGCGTGCATTATGTGCCAGGGTTAGGCATATACCTCGTGTTTTCTCTTGGTCTAATCTGGTCGGGTTTGATTGATTTGTCTTGGCGTCAGGGTTGTAATTATATCACGAGATTGATGGATACTTTTTGCTTCTTGCGCATGGTTATGGGAAATGACTGTATTTACTGTTATGTTTTTCTTCGGTATAGGAATTATTTATCTTATTATATCATATTATCATTTCTTAGAAGCCTATTATTAGCCTATACCAATCCACGATACGATACTATGGATCGTTTAATGATCCCCTGCCTGATTGGGCATATAATCCTTGGCCGTCTGCTTGGTCTTGTCCATGCCCTCGTTGGCCTTGGTCTTGGCCTGTTCGGCGTACTGAGAGGCATCGGAGTCTATGCCAGAGTATCTCCGTCAGCGTTACTCCGACATTATACTCCAATCCAACAACTCCAGATTCCTTCCTCTGGATCAAATTGGAAAGGAAAAGAAATGAAAGGAAAGGAAAGAAATCGACATACTCTGCTGCCCCGTCATCTGGTTATAGTAATCCTTGCCCTTGTTCTTGGCGTTTTCGAGGTTCTGCTTGATGGAGTCCATTTTGTTTTAACTTCCTTTTCATCATTAAACAATTAGCATTGACTAGTCGCCTTATAGATAGTAAAATAGATAGTGGGGGTGGTGTACATACGAGTAACTCGTGAAATGTAGATAGTCAATTCTGCTTGAAGTTGAAGAGTATAGTTAATGAGTTAGTTGTTAGTGCAGGAATCATCTTATATGGTATCCCATGGATGCAAAATGAATCATAGACTTTCATCCTATGACGTCGGATTCGGTTCTAGATGGTGTAAATAAGGTATAGAGTTGGAGTAGTATGTGGTGGATGTCAGAGACGTGAGTTTATTTGGCTGGTGAAGGGAAGTGTCGGTTCCATGGGTGGGAAGGGAAGGGATAGGTTGTGGGTGGGTGACATCTTCGACTTGAACTTCTTACTCCGTTACTTTGCCTATCTTATCGGTTCAGTGCTTTACGTATGGAATCATGGTGTTGGGTAGGTAGGTAGTTAGTTATTCAAGAACTTTGAATATGGTTTCGTCAGTTAATAGTCTGACTGGTAAGCTAGTTACTTAGTTAGTACTTGGTCAGTGAGGTAGCTGAGCTATTAGCTCATTAGCTAGGTAACAATGCAGTGTAGTTAACTACAATATGCAGTTAACTCTGAATCTGTGAAACTCCAGTCAGATCTTAGTCATATCGGGCCGTTTCAGTAACTAGTTAGCCGACTAACTACTACTTTATAACTAACCAACCAGTTAGAAGTAAACGTGATGTTCTATTAGTTAAGTAAGTAGTATCTAGTAGATAACTAGTGTAGCAGACCCCTGCAAGCGCCAACCCAACACCTTCCAGAAAACAGGTAATTAATTCATTTATCTTTGGGGGCTAATCCCCCTAATCTCCCCGGCCTCTGGAAGCCTAGAAATGTACGTGAAATTGCGAGAGAGAGCTTGGCGAATTCTTATCCTGACTGACTGACTACTTACTTACTGTCCTACGGAGGGGTTGTATATGTGGTTGGTAGATGGGTACTAACAAGTATATTTGCAAGTACTGGAAGTAGTACTATATCAAGATGATTTAACTAGTTAGTAGTATACTTCTTACTAAATACTCCATCTATTTTCTACTTCACTACTACTTAGTATTACCCTCCATATTGAATGAACATAACAGACCATCCTATCCATCCAACTCCGAAAATCCAACAACTTAAAAACGAACGGGTACCTGCGCCTACCAACACATCCTTCCCCATCATCCTTCATAGCTACCGTCGCATTCTTTTACCTTACTAGCAGTCTACTATTCATTCCCAAGTGTACCTAACCGAGGCTAAACACCTGACTGCAGCAACATTGGGGGCTAGTGTGTTTGACCATCGCGGTGGATCTGGGGGCTACAAGTCGAGCTGAGCTGAGCTGAGCTACTTTCCCTACGTGGTAGTAGGTGTTGGGTGAATGAGAACTTTAACGCTGAAAGGTCGATTCGTTTATCGAAGGGGACCGAAGGATTAGTAGTAGGTACAGTCCGGCGTGCGGTATGCTATATCTGGAATTCATGTGTGGTGTTGGTTCCAGGGTGGTTTTGGGGGTGGTTGGTATTCCGGTAGATTCCAGTATGCTATCTAGTCCGGACGACGACAATAAGGATATCGTGTTGTGGCGTGGTATGGTTTTATTGATGGATTTGGGGGTTGGTTTTGTTGTGATTTAGATGGTTTGTGGTGATGGTATGGATGTGCGTGTTTACTTACATATACAGTATGGAAGGCCGGACATACTTTTGTGAAATACTTCTGGGTGGGACGATCGGAATGTTTATTGGAATGGGGAATTTTGATGATAATGATCGGTGGAATGCGGAAATATACTCCGCTTCAATTTATCACATTGCTGCTTTGGATATTTGTTTATGTGATTGTAAATGTAGAGTGAATGTACGAAGTATTGTAGACGCGACTGGATAGAGGGGTAGATACGATTACTTACCGCAGGATCTATCGGCATTACACATCATATCGTCCAGTCTAGATACTCCGTAGATACTCGGTGGATGATCAAGCCACGCGAGTGACGGATGAAACGGACGATGGAGTGCTGCGATAGAGTCCGGTTGGCTGGCTTGGCGTCTCGCCTGATATTCAGATCCATCAGATGGATCTGACTGTTTATTGTGCAAAAGCACCATTGAGTGTTTCACATCTACCAGTGGCGTTCGTTCCGAGGATTGGACTGCCTAGACCACCCTATTAGATTAGCGGCGCGACAAGAAAGACAAAAACAACCGAATCAGACAGTCGTTTTGCGAATGGACGCGGCTGGACTGTCCTGCAGTAGCCCACCAGTAGGGCAAAAAGTCAGATCAGGGCAACATCCCTGCCACTAACGATGGTTCCCCTCTTTTCTTCCCACCACACGAAAAACTGGACTGTGTACAAAACGATGCTGAAATGCTGCTGACGAGATGTGACTGGTCGGTGCCTGGATGTGCGACACGTCAACTTGGTCTTCAATAGGCCGTGTGCCCTTTGATGGGCTCCAGGACCCGCCGGGTTCGCCACATCAACATTCGGCCCGGTGAAACCTGAACCTGGACCTGAAAAGATGACGGCACCTGATTGTTGTAGTTTCAGTCCAGTCCAGTCTAGTTCGACTTTTTTTGTGTACTCGGAAAGGGCCATTCAGTTTTCTCGTATTGAGTGGCTTAGTGGTCAGGCACCGCCTAATTCCCTCCTTTTGGGCGGAACCACCCAAGGATTGCCACGCTGATCCCCCTGAAGGAAGCGGAAAAGAGAGCCCTGCAGGCAACATCACCGCACGCTTCCAGCTGAAAGCGGTTTCTCCCAATTTCCCCAACCAAAAAGTCAGTGCAGGCAAGGAACGGTAGAGCGTGGCTGAACTAACGCACCAGCAGACACTCAAAAGTCAATCCGAAGAACAACTGCCCACTTCAGGCCCCAGTTCAGCCAGTCAGAAGTGTCTGTGCCATCCAGGCACGGCTTGGTGAGACACTGGCGTCAACGCGGACCGCCAATCAGCCAAACTACTGGGCCTGACCCCGAGGATTCCGATCAGACCCTGCCCAGTTGGTGTGTGCCTGGAAAGTAGAGTAATTTTTTGACTTTCTTTTTCTCTGTTCTTTATTTGCTTCTTTCACAGTAACAGCTGTAAGATGAGATGGCTGCGTCAGGTACGAGGGAAGGCTCCCCAATCAGACCGAGCAGGATGCTGAGCTGGTTCCGGGCCGCGCCCGACCACATCCAACCATGGAGGTTGCCCTGGGAAGACCGGTGAGGGTCGGGCAGAGAAGGGCTTAACGGGCATTGGCGGAGATCCAGAGTTCACGAGCTGTTGGCGGTGGGGGGAGGAAAGAAAGGGAGTGGGTCTGGGGGGGTCAAAAAAGTAATTGCACCAAGTGGAGTCTAGGCTTCATTCATGAGAGCGTGAAAAGTGAGTGAAAGAGAGAGAGAGAGAGAAAGACAGAGAGAGGGTGATGTATTCTATGGTGATTGTTCGTACTGTTGGTGTGGTGGATCCCTACTGCGATTCACCCCATACCAAATGATACCATACACACCATACATCCATCCATACATACATACCACCGGCTCCAATTCTAATACAAATACTCTGCCCTCTCCTCCCTCGTTTCTCGCCTGCTTCTTTCCCTCTCTTCTTCCACCTCACAGTCCGTCCTCTCTTTGACGCTCGGTCATTCCTTCTTTCCACCCTCCTTCCTTGGGTTTTTTGCTCTATACTGCTGTGCAGTACGCATTCCTTAAGACTTCTCTGTCGACCAGAGCATCAATCCTTCCAAAAGAAAAACGTGACCCTACATCGTCCACCAAAAGCAAATCCACACCTACAACATCCCCTATATCAAATCAAACAACCTACATCCATAACAATGGCCCCTCTTTCCAAGTCTCTCGCCCTGGCCGGCACTCTCTTTGCCGCCTTTGGCTCTGCTGCTCCTGTTGAGAAGCGCTCAACCGAAGTTGTTTACCAGACCGTCACCTCCGTCGTCTGGACCACTGTCGATGTGACCACCACCATCTACGGCGCTGCCCCCACCGAGTCCGCTGCCGCTACTCCTACCCCCGAGTCTCAGTACCAGCTGCCCGGAAACAGCCAGCCGGAGCAATCCGTCAGCTACCAACCCTCTTCCTCCACTACCTCCACTACCACCGCTTGGGGCGCTGCTTGGACCCCCGAGCCCCAGTCCTGGACTACCTCTACTTCCACCAGCGAGTGGGAACCCGCCTGGACTCCTGCCACCACCAGCTCCAGCTCCACCAGTCAATGGGAGCCTGTCTGGACTCCTTCCACTACTACCCAGGAGCCCGCCTGGACCCCCTCCACCACCACCACCGTTCCCGCTGCGGCCACTTCCTCTGCCTCCAGCTCCAGTGGCGGCAGCAGCAGCGGATACTCCGGTAGCTGCTCCTCCGGATCTCCTTGCACGGGTGATCTGACCTACTACGTGGCTGGATTGGGATCCTGCGGCATCACCAGCAACGGCAACACCGATATGGTGGTTGCGCTCCCCCATGGCATCATGCAAGACAGCGACTGCGGCAAGACCGTGAAGATCACCTACAACGGTGTGACCGACTACGGCACGGTCTGGGACAAGTGCATGGGCTGTGACGATGTGTCGATCGATCTGTCGGAGAAGCTGTTCAAGAAGTTCGGTACTGAGTCCGAAGGCCGTCTGACGGGCGCGGAGTGGTACATTGAGTAGATGGACAGGATGGAACGAAACTTATTTTTTACCCTTCTTGTCACTCGTTGATTGACTGATTTAGATATGATGATTTTGATTTCTTGTTTATACCTTAGCACACACACACGCACACACATTCTTTAGATTGTCCTGGGGACGAATCTATCTGCAGTATGACTGACGTGTATGTATCACGATTAGAATGATCACTAAGAAAAAGAAGAAGAGCAAGACTGTTGAACCTGTCTTAACCACATTGCCAAAGAGCTGCCTTCCATTCCCATCTCCGTAGTGTCCCTCTCATCTCCCCTTTCAGACTGACAGTCCTGCCCTCTCAACCCACAGATCTCCTTCTCCCGACACCCCCTCCCACAGCCTAAGACACGGTACCCCCTAGTCCGTCTCGCCCAATACTGATTAAACACATTCCACTCCGTCTCCATCACATCCGTCAGCGTTGCCCAGAACTGTGGTCCAATGCCACCAGCCTCAGCACCGCCCCCAGCACTAGCACCAGCCCCAGCATTATGATAGACATACTTCCCGTAAGCCCCCATAGCAGAGTAATACCTAACCCATACAGGCTCTCCCTGAGGACTACTATCTATAAACAGAGGAGATCTTGCAACATACTCCTCAAAATCCATCACCTTCAACCCATCACCACTGAAACGAAATTCATATACCCTGAAAGCAGGATACCCAGACATAGGCGTCATCGCCGGCGCCAACATCTCCACGCCTATCACTTCTTCTTCCCTTTCCCCTTTCTCCACTACCATGTCGTTCTTCTCCACTCTTTGCCCGTGCCCGTGCCCCTGATTTACATGACTAGCATTATCACTACTACTAGTATTACTCCTACTTGAATAAGAATTATTATTATATAATACCCCGAACGTATCGACATGGCCATGTCCGCAGAATACACCCATGATTGTTTTCTTAAAACGATAGAGGATTCTTCGTAGGGAGTCAGCGTAGGCGGCTAATGTTTCTTTGCTTGAGATAGGGATATGCGTGATTAGAAGGACCTTGAGGCTTTCTTGTTCTGCGGCGTGGAGTTCGGTGATTAGCCAGGTGAATTGGGACATAGGGTCGACTGGCATGGGAGTCGTGTAGAGGAGGAGGTTGAGGCGGTAGTAGAGGTTGCTGTTGTAGGAGATGATTTTTATTTGGTTATCTGTGGGTGGGTGGGTATATGTCGTGGCGTATGCGCCGGATCTAACGTTCAGAGCGGTGTTGTTTTGTAGTGATTTCCAGTGGGTGGTTAGTGCGTTGTAGGCCCATTCTACATCTAACTCTTCGGGGGTATCTACTCCGGGGAAGATGTTCACCGGGTGAGTATCGTGGTTTCCGATGGCGGCGTAGACGGGATTGTTTAGTGTCTGCAGTAGGGCGGAGTACGTCGCGTTGAAGCAGGCTAGGACGGACTGCTGGCTTGTGTTCCAGATGTCGTGGGCGACAATGTCGCCTGTGAAGAGGGTTAGATGTGGTTGTTGCTGTGATTGCAGTGCGGAGAGCATGCTGTGTAGTAGTCGTAATGGGGGATCGCAGTGCGGACTCCCCCAGGTTGAGCACGGGGTTTTGGACCTGCCTGGGGCATCGTAGGCATGGTATTGACGGCAGCAGATGGGCTTGCGGCAGTGGGTGCTGGTGCCGGGGGTGTAGGCGAGGTCGACGTGGGTATCGGTGATGTGGGCGATTCGGAGGGTTGCATTGTTATTATCTTTGTTATTCTCTTTGATGGTGATAGGAGAATATAGTGGAGGAGGAGGGAAAGTCAGGTGGATAGGACGGATTGGCGGATACGGACACAGATCCAACACGCTGGCACAAAAGGTCTGCGCGGTATCTGATGGAACGGACAGTTGACGAAGCACATAGTATGCGCTGGGGACTTGGGAGGCTACGAGTCCGGTGCAGAAGTCGGCGTCGAGGATCTGGGAGAATAAAATTAGTTGAAAATGTCCGAAGTGGAGACGGTAGTATATTGATTCACCTTGCTTATGATGCATACTTCGGTGAGGACGGTCTGGAGGGCCAATGGACCGAGTTGAGATACTCGTTGGAGTGATTTGAGCAGCGCCTATGGGCGCAGATCAGCGTGGTCCATAACAATCTGGATGAACAGTCAGTCGGTCACCTCACAGGCGGTGCAGCTGGTCGCAGCTTGAATGTCGTGCCAGATGGTCTGGGTCCAGTTTGGCGCTGTGGTGGCTGTCGCTAGGACGGCCAACAGAAAGGCGGGTTTCATGAGAAGATACTGCATTGAGGGACTGACTGATTGCTGCTGTTGCTGTTGCTGCTGGTCGGGGGTTTTATGGTATGGCATGGTGGCCGGGCGTCGAATTGGGACATTTGAAAGAGCTCCATGTGATGCTGGGCGGGAGTCAGCAGAACAGACAGAAAGTACTCATATTTAGGGTTGGTGGATGATACTCAAAACTTAATTTAAGGTACTTGGCAGATGCAGATATGCTGCAGCCATATCAGCAGCAATATTGAGTAGTTAGGGTTGGGAAGGTCGGGGGATAATGACTAGTTGAAGAAATAGTGGGAGAAGTTAAACGGATATCCCATGCATCTCCCCGTCCCCTGCAGTACACCCAAACCAACTGGTGGTGTAACCATTCACCCCTTTCATATCTCTGCTCAAAGAACTAATTATTCACGGGCATTTCTGCATACTCCATGCAAGATGGATGACGACTATGCAATTAGTCTGCATTCAAGGCTGACTGGCGGAGGACTGGAATGTCCAGCACATCTCCAAGACCATCCAAGAATGGCTGCGAACAGCTTCAATCTCGGCGCAACACGCGAGGAGCCGCCGATCGCCCGGTTTGCTATTTGGATCATCCCAATAAAACCGTATTCCTGGATCCTTTGAACTACGCAGGAATAATAATAATATCACTAGTAAGTTAATATCAAGCTATTATCTAATCCGGGGGACCCACGCACAAAAAACCACTGGGACTTTGTTAGTTTAACTTAACCTTCAGGCTTTCGTTTCTTGGTCTCCGCTTCCCCTCAATTTCTGCATCCACTTTTCCCTTTCTTCACCTCATCTCTTTTCCACCATTTCCCTCACACGATCTCACACATTCTCTCTTTCTACTCGTACCTCCTCGTTTATCTCCCTATATATCATCTCCAAGACCATGCTTTGATCCGATCATGGCCCCTCCTCCCCCTTTCCCCTCGTCTTCGTCCCAACTTCGCCATGCAAGATCAACGGCCCGAGGTTCTCACCGTCTCCATCGTCTTCTTCGTCATCGCAACTGTCTTCGTGGCCCTGCGCTTCATCTCCCGCATCTTCATTGTGCAGAAGGTCGCCCTCCATGATTATTTGATGCTCCTGGCCTGGGTACGTCTATCCCTCTTCTCCTTTCCCCCCTCTCTCCTCTCTCAAGCCACCTCCTCATTCTCCGATCTTCCCGCAGGTCCTCGACTTCGGCTTCTCCTTCTCCCTCTTCTATGCCACCCACAAAGGTCTGGGTCTCCACGATACCGATATTCGCGAAGACCAACGCGCCGGCCTCAATCGCGCCGACTATGCCTTCACCGTCCTCTACGTGAGTCGCCCGTGGACTCCTCCGCCCGTCGCTCCCCTCTGACTGCCCCAGAACCCGGCCCTCATGGCCGTCAAATCCTCCATTCTGGTCTTCTACCTAACCCTCACCCAAGGCGAGAAGGTCTTTCGCTTGGCCAATTACGTTACTCTCTTCGTCGTTAATGCCGCCGGACTCGCCTTGACCCTCGTGAATGTCTTCCAATGCCGTCCCGTCAGCGCGGCCGTTTCCTATCCCTTTCCCGAGGGTGCCAAGTGCATCGACATCCTGACCCTATACCTATCCTCGTCGCCCGTCAACATTGTGACCGACTTGGCTATTCTTTTCCTGCCCAATCCCATCCTGACGCAAATGCGACTGCCGCGCAAGCAAAAGATCATCCTCGTCATCACCTTCAGTTTTGGTTTCTTTGTCGCCGTCGTCGATGTCATCCGCATTGCCTACATCCAGGATGCGGCCACCTCACGTCAGATCGCGTTGAGAGAGGTTCATCTGCAGGATACCCCGGGTGATGACCTCAGCTGTACGTCCCCTGTCCTTTCGTTATCCCTATCTTCCTGCTGATCGCCCCAGGGTACGGGGCGTTTTCATTTATGTGGTCCGTCATCGAAGTCAACGTTTCCGTCATCTGTGCCTGTGTGCCCAGTCTCAAGCCGCTTGTCGCGCGACTCATCCCGAAGCTGATCCGTGACACTGACGGGAGCTCCCAGGCCACAGACCTTCCCCTGCCCGCTCCCGATCCACCCCCTGAGATTCCGACCGTCACCGGGCCTCCTACTGCCCGGCGCGCGTCGCGCTCACCACAGTCCGCCAGCCAGGACAATAAGCCGTCGCATTCGGAGAGCCACAGCAGTCATGCGGCCTCGGCCCGGGTTGACCTCTCCGATATGTTGACCATCGCGCCCGAGGCGCCTCCGGATGTCGAGAACCGGACGAACACCGTCACCACCACCACGTCGTATCCGCCCAGCATCACCTTTTTCGACTTCGTCAATATGAAGAAGCCGGCAAACATGCTGAAGCTGAGCAATAAGGAGTCCATTGCCCCAATCGCGCTGACCACCATCTTGTTCTTCCTCTGGGGCTTTGCATACGGCTTGCTGGCTATCCTGAACGAGCAGATTCAGGATATCCTGGGCCTGGACGTCTGGCAGTCCTTTGGTCTCCATGCGGTGTACTTTGGGGGGTATCTGGTGGCGCCAACGTTTGTGGGGGGCGTCGTGCTGAAGCGCTGGGGGTTCAAGTGCACCTTTATCACTGGGCTGTGCATTTACGCCTGCGGCACTCTGGTCTTCTGGCCGTCAGCCGTGCTGACTTCTTACCCTGGTTTCATCGTGTCCAATTTCATTGTGGGCAGTGGACTGGCGGTGCTGGAGACGGCCGCCAATCCGTTCATTGCGCTATGCGGACCACTCGAAAACTCGGAGATTCGGCTGAACATCTCGCAGGGCGTGCAAGCAATTGGCAGCGTCGTCTCGCAGCTACTGGCCAAGAAGGTGCTGTTCAAATCTGTGACCGATGTGAGTACTCTGGTCGATGTGCAGTGGACATACTTGGGCATCGCACTGTTCGACGTACTCCTCGCTCTCGCTTTCTATTATCTGCCTATCCCCGAGGCATCGGACGAGGATCTGGAGGAACTGGCCAACCGCCGCCGCGCCGACAACCGCGCCACCGTCGCTGGCATCCCCGTGGTTTGGCTGACACTGGGCCTCGGCGTCTGGTCTCAGTTTTTCTACGTGGCCGGCCAAGAAGTGATATCGATGAGCTTCGACAGCTACGTCCGCACCGTGCACCCACTGTCCTATCTCAGTCCCTTTGAACAGCTCACGGTCGCACACACGGTGTTCGCGGTCGGCCGCTTCCTCGCCGCCTTCGTCCAATGGTTCCTCAAACCCCGCTGGATACTTATGCTCTCTTACATCGGCATGATCGTCTTCTCCGTCCTGTGCATGAAAATGACCGGACGAGCCGCTGAAGCCATGGCTCTCATGGTGTACCTGTTCGAGAGCGGCGTATTCAGTATCATTTTTGCCATCTCGCTCCGCGGCACCGGTCGACACACCAAGACCGCGACCGTACTGCTCACGGTGGCCATCGGCGGCGGCGCCTTCTTCCCGTTCGCGCAATACGCAGCCGAGCTGGCAGGCGGTATCCGCTATTCCTACTGCGTGCTGGTGGCGCTGTTCAGCGCGGGCGCCATCTTCCCCATCTACCTCAACGTAGTGCCGGCAGCCAAGAAGCAGGTGGATCCGGTACCAAACGAGCATCTGCGACACCCCCGCCGGCGCAGTCGCATCAAAGCCAACGTGATGGCGCGCGAAAAGGAGAACCCATCAGTGGGTGGGGTGCTCTCGCGCCGGCGCAGCGTCGTGTCGGAGCCGTTGCCGACGGTGCAGCTGGCGGACCACACGAAGCAGACGTCGGGAGGGTTGATGCATGAGTTGGCGCCATGGCCAGAGCAGCGCGGGGAGCGTGCGGTGCAGACAGATTAAGTTATTCTTTCTGCTCTTTGTTTTGTTTCTTTCTTTCTTTCTTCCTTTCTTTCTATTTCTTGATTATATCTCTACGGGAGGAGATTTGCCATGATACCCATTATTTTGGATTGGATTGTGTTTTAGCGTGGAGTTGGCTGATTGCATTGCTGGAGTACTGTACATATATACCTACATACGTACTTGATTTTCTACAAGGGTTGACGGCCTTCCCTTTCCGTTTTAGTGCTCACCCCTCAAACCCGGCACTGCCATCAAGAAAGAGACGAGTAGGTCGAGCTACTATTCCTTCTGATGCCCACGGCCTTGTTCCCGGGTAGGACTCTGCTGGAGGTGATCATGCTGCGCCAACACGGCAAATAATTTTTGGCGGGCTTCCTCGGTCAGACCAGGGGACCTGACAACCCGATCGGGTTTGCGGGGGACCCTTTCTGGACATACATATACAGAGTACATACATGCCGGATACATGTAAGAGAATCACGTGAGTTGTAAATCATTGGGGCAACTCGTACATCTCCAACACCACAATCCTGCCTCCGAACAGGATCCCAACCGCCAGACATGGAAAAGCAAGAACTCCAGACATCGTTCCTCAGAAAATATTTCAAATCCTCTACAAAACTCTCCCAGCTTCCCATCGAGGAACAGGTAGCCCTGTTCCGCGAAGCGATCAGCCAAAATGCCACGTTGACCAAGATCCTCAGCCAAGCTTTGGATTTAGACCTCCCCGAGTGGTACTTGGCCTCTGGATGCATTTTCCAAACGGTCTGGAATGTTTTGACCGGACGAGACCCCGAAGCCGGCATCGCGGACTATGACCTAGTCTACTACGACAAAAGCGATATCTCCTGGGCGGCAGAAGACGCTGCAATCCAAAAGGGCCAGAAGATATTTACGGGCGATAATAACAATAACAATAATTCCTCGTCTACTTCTACTACTACTACCCCCGTTGAGATCCGCAACCAGGCCCGCGTCCACCTGTGGTACAAGGAAAACCGCGGAATCGACTGCCCACAACACGCGTCCGCAGAGGCCGCAATCGCCACTTTCCCAACCACCACTGCCTCCCTGGGAGTCCGCTTACTGCCTAACGGGGATTGGCGCATCTTTGCCCCGCACGGCTTTGCGGACTTGTTTGATCTGATCGTGCGCCCTAACCCGGTGCTTACGCCGCCGCATGTGTACAAGGCCAAATCAGAGCGATGGCAGCGTCAGTGGCCGGGGCTTACCGTCTTGCCTTGGCCGGGAGGGGAAGTGGAAAGCTCCGGGCAAGAAGAGGCAGGCGTGGGACTTGCATCGGGAGTGTACATCGCTCCGCGGCTCGCACCTTGACGGCGCTTTTCGCCTGCTTGGAGATACAAGTACCTGTGAATAGCCGGCGCTTCCGAGGTGGTTGCGAGCGTTGAAAGTGGCTGTTGTGGAATTTGCTGCAGGAACTGCATTGCAGGGAGGGATGGAACCATGAAAGTATTTAGATTCTAGCCGCGGTGCTATGCAAAAAGTAACCGATAGAGGTTTAGATCATGCATATGAGAGATGGGAATGCGGTATATCAGCTGTTGACATCGCACAAAAACCCCGAGTGCCAGATTGATGCTTCCCAATATATCTTGATACAATTCCTCATGTTTACTGAGCCTTTTTAATACAGTAATATAAGATGTACATCGTCAAGGATATGTGTGGATGTAAATCACTAGTCTCGGCGCGCATGGGGGATCACTGCTGGTGGAACCAGCCACATGGTTTGTTTTGCAGAGGGTCGAACCGAGCTGGGAGGACACAGTGGGTGACAAATAATATCTTGCTGGGACGATTATCGCAAGGTTGCTAACCCTGAGCGTCATATTTCTAGACCGCGCCACCATATTGAATGCGAAATCTTGACCTTCGAATCCAGCCACCAACTATGTGTCTTTTTATGCTCTAAAGCAATCTGCCTTGGACGGCCCGTCTACGTATGTCCTGGTTGGGAGTCCCAATATGGGATAACCGAGATAAATAGCAGATCGAAGGAGACTTTTTGAAAACCTCCAGCTTCCACATGGCGTACGTACAGGAGGCATCCTCAAATGAAGCTAGTAAAAGGGCGTGCCCTTGTCCTGTATGGGGAAATTACTTGGAGAGCTACGTACCAAGTTCTTGGTCCTGTGAAACTTCGATTGAAAACACATTGGAAAGCTAAACAGCTACACCTTTCCCCTTGATAGTATGTCAACCAGAAGCGCTGGAAATGACCGGCATCGTCACGTAGTTTCCAAGATCAACCCCGAACCTAATCTCATTCCTCCCACCGAATACCCCTTCATCGCGGTCCTTCGGGTGGTCATGAGTGAATATCCCGCTTCCCTGAGTGTCCGCACCAGCTATCTCAAAGATCAGTCTATTCCCGGGACTGACGACCACATTGGTCGGCCAAATCTCGACTGTGACCCTGTAAACTTCGCCTGGTACAAGCGGCTCTAGTAGCTAAGCTATACCGACGTGATTTCATGAAGTGATATCTCTTCCTTCCAGAACTGCTTTCCCAGTAGCTAATTCCTAGTTGATTAGGATGTATTAGGGAAGAACGGTATGTCAGAATGAGGACTGCGTGGTTTGTCTGCCACAGTGTGTTGACTTATTTGAGTATATGAATTAGGGTAATGCATGTGACTCGTGGGATTAGTGTATATGGCCAAGTCTAGATAGTTGTTCAAGATGCGATAGGAGGAAAGATAACAGGCTAAGTGGTAAATTGCGGTCCATGGGTTTGTGCATGTGCTCGGAATAGAGATGATTGCATCTGAAATAGTATAGTTTTGAGGGTAGTTAACTACAGTTGTATTATCTACTATCGATACTACAAGAATTTCAGGATTAAGAAAAGGATATCATTATGCATCCATCTAAACTAGCAAAAAAAACACCGGCGCCTCTATCCATCGCGCTGAAAGGGAACATCAAACTACATAATCGTCATGACATAAGTCGGGGAGGTTTGCGGCTTTCCGCATTTACCACCAGTCACCCTGGTCCTTCATGGCGGCAGCCACCTTGGTGAAACCGGCAATGTTGGATCCGGTCACCAGGGAAGGCAGGACACCCTCAGCAGGGGTGGCGTACTCCTGAGCAGTCTCAAGACCGTTCTTGAAGCAGTCGCGCATGATGTCCTTAAGACGGGCATCAACCTCCTCAGAAGTCCAGCTGAGGCGGGCAGAGTTCTGAGCCATCTCCAGACCGGAGACAGCGACACCACCGGCGTTGGCGGCCTTACCGGGGGCGTACCAGATGGCAGCCGCGCCAGCGTTGGCGGTACGGTGGGCCTCGAAGGTGTCGATGGCCTCCTGGGTGCAACCCATGTTGGAACCCTCGGCGATGAACTTGCAGCCAGCGTTGATGAGGACCTGGGCCTCCTCGCCGGAAACCTCGTTCTGGGTAGCGGAGGGGAGAGCGACGTCGACCTTGCCGACGTGAACCCAGGGGCGGGCACCAGCAATGTACTTGAACTTGTTGGCGTCGCTGAAGGGAGCAGCACCGACGATGCTGGCGAGCTGCTTGCGCTCAACCTTGGTCTGAGCGATGAGCTCGATCTCCTCGGGGGTGAAGCTACCCTCGCCGTTGATGATGAGGGAGCCCTGGCTGTCGCTCAGGGAGACGACGGAACCGCCGAGCTCAATGACCTTGAGGGCGGCGTACTGGGCAACGTTACCGGAACCGGAGATGGCAACGCGCTTGCCCTTGAAGGACTCCTGGCCGTTGGTGGCGTGAGCAATCATGTGCTCGACGTACTGTTGCGCGTTAGTCGCTGTTATACATAGATAATCATAAGAGGAATTGACATACGTAGACAACACCGTAACCGGTGGCCTCAGGACGGATGAGGGAACCACCCCAGCTGCCACCCTTACCGGTGAGAACACCCTCCCACTGGTTGCGGATCTTGCGGTACTGGCCGAAGAGGAAACCGACCTCACGACCGGTGACACCGATGTCACCAGCGGGAACATCAGTGTCGGCACCGATGTGCTTGCAGAGCTCGGTCATGAAGGAAACACAGAAGCGACGGATCTCGTTGTCGGACTTGCCCTTGGGGTCGAAGTCGGAACCACCCTTACCACCACCCATGTTCAGGCCAGTGAGAGCATTCTTGAAGATCTGCTCGAAACCAAGGAACTTGAGGATGGACAAGTTGACGGAGGGGTGGAAACGAAGACCACCCTTGTAGGGACCGAGGGCGCTGTTGAACTGGACACGGAAACCGCGGTTGACCTGGACGTTGCCGGCATCATCCTCCCAGACGACACGGAACTGGATGACACGCTCGGGGACGGAGACGACAGCAAGGGCCTTGCGGTATTCGGGGTTCTTCTGGAAGAGGGTGGAGTTCTCAAGGGTCGAGGCAAGCTCTGTAAGAGGATGTTGTTAGAATTTTTTTTTTCCTTCATCAATTTCGGAGGGGCAATGGAACATACCCTTGTAGGCCTGCTCGAACTCGGGCTCGTGAGGAAGGTTAGACATTTTGATGGGGAGGATTGATTGAGAGAACTTTTTTAACTGGGGTATCTAGAAAACAGGAATATGGAGAAAAGATGAAAGAAAGAGAAGTAGTCTGGAGGAGAAAGAGAAAGGAGAGGGAGAAGAAGAAGAAGATGGCGAGGGGGAAAGGCCGATTTATGTTTTCGAGGAGGGGAGGGGCGAGAGCGGGGAGAAAGACAGAAGAGAGGGAAGAGGGTAGAGTGGATAGAGGGAGGAGAACAGCCGGAGTCGGACATAAAGTCCCCCTCCCTCAGGCCATCCACTGTACAGTAGTAGACTAGTAACTAGTATACTACACAGACTACACGGACTACACAGACCACACTAGGGAGTCTCCGCTGCAGGCGGGCATTTCCTGGCACGCCCCAAACGGCAAATGAGGCCGGCTTCCGGGGCGGGTTTGGCGGTGGCGCCGAAGTTCGGGCTGTTAGTCGATAGTTTGAGGTCACAGAATCTGCCCGTTATCTATCGGCGGGAATCCGCTGGCCCGCCCGCCAATGGCAGTCGCCCGCTCTACTATCGGGAGGAATCGGGTGGCAACGGAAGTATTAGGGTAGGGTAGGGTAGGATAGGATTTTTTTTGATTGCTTTCTCGAAGCGAGAGAGAAAATTCTTCTCTTGCTGGTACTATGAGCCATTGGTACACGCCAAACAGTCTTTTCTTGCTCGGAATCCATTAGGGAGTCCTACTAAGGATAAGCAATACGCCGTCGCAATCTAGAACCTGCTGAAATCTGGAGAGAAACTCGCATTTGTCCTGCACGCCAAGAGATCCTGCAGACTGGCGGATCACCTGACATCTTCCTTCCCATTGGCCTGGTTCCCCCCGCTGCACGGGAGGTGCTTATCAGATGTCCGGATTTCCTTTACCTACTCGTATCGTCAAATCCTCTGCACTCAGCCAATACAACCTCATCTTCACCCTGTTTCCCCTTCACAAATGTCTATCTCTCTTTCCCCTCCCCGGAGATCCTTACTCCGAAATTAGGACATATCCATGCTTACACAGACACGTTGCCTCGCTTCACTCCTTCCCCCATGTTCCCCGGTGAGCCCCGACGTGGGGGAATGGGCGGCAATCACGGTGATTCCCATACTTTTAGAGGATTGTCCCGGTCGGACACGGTTCACTGGGCGGTCTGATCATGCGACCACCATGGGGAGTTCACCGGTGAGCCTGGTTGAGTCTAAGTAGGTTTCTCATAGAGGGGGAAATACAGGATACACTTGGTTGCCAACCAGTCACGGTGTCACATCACTGTCCCATTAGATTTAATCCTTCTGCTGATGAATGCTTGGAGTCGTCTGTAGTCAATGTCGGGGACTTCTCTTGGATTTCTTGGAATTGGGAGTAATTACCTCAGTTGCATGTGATAACTTGTAATTAGATTAAATAAACTGATGGGAGAATCAATCAAGAAGGGAATTATTGCAATACTAAATAGACTTGAATTGAAATCTATTCTTTATTTAATTATGGTTATTCAAAACACTGAATGGAATGACCACGATGCTGTTACAGCAAAGTGGTAGTAGCGCGGTGTTGCCGTTGCATGTCAAAGTTTCCCGACCCAACATGGAGTGGAGCCAGTTTGCCTATCAGTTGCCTCGCTAATCCTTGCCGTGCTGCCCGGACCAATCAGCAGTTCACACTAACAAAACATCACGATTCACACGCCGGCTCTTGCCCTCCCCACATCCCGGAATGCTAGTGAGAAGATCGCCAAGCGGGCTAATGCATCCTCCCCCAACTCTGATATACTTTGAGGGGCGCAGGTAGGTACGGATGCTTGATGGACCATGGACAGTACTCTAATTGGGTGGAAGTGAGATGGAAAAGTTAATTGTTCATTCATGGGGGCTGGTTGGGTTTGGAGGCGACTAGGTTCGGGAAGGTTTTAAGTGCGGGGGATGGTTTGCTAGTTGGCCTGATTCAGATCTGGGATGCGATTCATGGTGTCTGGTTCAGATGAACTATTTGCTAAAATAGGGTTGATGATGAAGAGATGTGACATCTAACAGGATTAACTTTCTTGATCTGTTGTTTGTGCTGTGCTGCATGTGTATGTATTCATGGGTGAATCCGATTCCATCCGTAGTTACTCAATTTGGAAGTTGAATGCCTGACTCTTAGGGCATTCATCCACCATTCTATCAATGGGGATGATGAATCTTCGATTATTTACTGCTTCAATTACCCTTTGTGATATTGAATATTCCAGTCAAGAAGAGGTATAAGTAGCTGCATTTCCCCTCCCAAGTATCTCTTTTCATCTGCATCTCCCTCATGAATCGGACTCTATATATGATATCCTCAACCACAGAAGGGATCGTCACCCTATAACCCTACTTTATATACTCTTTATACTATCAGACTATACATACTGTGCTCCATCAACAGTACCCTATCATCTTCACCTTCTAACCTCGTCTTCCATATATCTAAAGACCTACGGAGACAGGCAGCCAGAGGAATGGAACACCCTGCCACAGTCGAGCGGGCCTCAACTAGACTCGCAAACAAGGCCAGAAGTGCAGTCTACATACGGCATATGGAACACCAATTCCTCGAGAGAATAACCTCGATATGACCGAAGCACTTCTTCCTACTCGGCTCATCACCCTCTATCAAGATAGCCAAGTCTCCAACTGGCTCAAGGGAAAGCGGTTTTGAAGAATTGGAGGAATTGACATAAGTTTATCGACTATGCCACGCATGTCTACTCTAAAGTTCACCATACTACTCTGGTATAAATCCTTAGCCTGTACTATGCTGCGGACCTGTTGGTGTAATGACTAACGGTAAACAGAATGTTACAGTGTACAAGCTAGCAACTCGTCACACTGATGAAGCTCAACTTGATCACACACAACTACGGGACTCTCGATTACTTGGGCTGTGGCTCTGCTGGGACAGTGGAATACAACTGCCAAGCATACTCGGATGGAAGGGAACATTTCCCAGTTGATATCGGGAGCATCCAGGACATTCTAATGGAGATGCACGGCCTGTGGCAGATAGAGGAGTCATCCTGACAGCAAAGTCTCGACCCTAGCCACTGAAAATCTCGATGCCCGTCTTTACCCGGCTTGAAAACCCTATATAATCAGTCGCCATGGCTCCCACCAGGACATAAGAGGAGGACACTTTTGTCCCCTTTGATTGGCCACAATGATACCAGGAATGAGTGTCTTGTCATCCTATCTGATGTGGGAGTCTTTCTTAGACTACTTCCCACCATTATGGAGACTTGTCTGGCATCTGAATCCTTCACCCACGTTTCCTTCCATCAGCAGTCTTGTTCTTAATAATTATGGTAAGCCAGCAACGCCTCCAAACATGCCACCCTTCTGGATTCCCATTCGATAACAGCACCAACCTGCTTGCTGTGGAGTTATCCTTCCATTCAAGATTCGAATTCTGAAGTCTCTCTCGCCTGACCCCCCCAATATCCATCTATGCCTCCAACACCGTGGTTCGATACCTTCCGATGTGATTTTACCCTATATATTACCAGAAGGGCATACTGGCATTTCAAACTGTCACAGATGATCCCTTTGGAGAAAATACTCAACCCTAGGAGGAGCACATCATCCTCTGGGAGGCGAAAGACCACTGTCAATGATGATTTGGACAATTCTGTACGAGGTACAAACCAGGCAAGACTGGTTACAGCTTCAAAAACATCCAACAAACAACACTCGGGGACAGATGGACACCCTCAAAAACCCACGTTTTAAATTCATTATGCTCTGCATGCGAGGACATAGAGTTGCTTAGAGAGACATAAAAATGCCTCTTCAAAGGGAGAATTCCTAGCTACTGCTATAACCTATATATATGCGCATGAAATAGGTGTTCGAAGAGTATATCTTCCAGCAGCTAAACCATCTCAGACAAGTCAACTGTCTCCGAAGACCTCTTGAACTCATTGTATCGACGGCGCATACAGAAGAGGTGCTTCGGGGGATCAATTATACAGTCTATGCCTCAGCTGAGAGTTTATAGAGGATGAAGCCCCTCCATATTAAGCCGGTAGACATTACCAACTCTACCAAGCCAGGACGATGCCTGCAAGCTGGGCAGGGTGAACTGATTGCTATAAACGGGTTTCCCCGTATCAACGGATACCCCAAAGATGGCCCGGCAACAGCCAGGAAAATCCCACCTCTCGCCCAAGAGCAGACCCTCGCTGGCTGGAAAATTCCGAAATTACAGCATCGACAACGGGATAACCCGGCATTTTCCGTTCAGTTAGTACCCTGCCTTGCCCTATAAGTAGAGCATATCTTGGCAGCCCAACCACCAGACAGTACATGGCTTGGCTTCGCGGGCCATCCCTCCACATGAGCGCTTATCCAGAGTAAATGGGATATTCCTGCCTCGCAGCATAGCGGGGCTGCGCGCTTGGCGAAAGCTGAGTCTGAGGTCCTTCAACTGTCGAGGTTACTTGATCCGGCTAATGTGGAAGAGATCCCAAAAGGATGCATAAAAACACAAGGCATTAGGTCACGGAAGGCTGAAAGGGTCATGTTGAGTCTTTGAGAAATTGACTTCCTGCTCCAAAACTGGTTTCTGTGGGCTGTGGGCGGGGTAGGATAAGTGATGAACAAATTGTCAATATTGCTCTTGAGACAGCGACTACTCTCTTCAGTGTGGATTTTGTGGGGTGATGGGCGGGGGCTGCAATATAGGGCAGAACCAACAATGAAGAGGTTGTCAATATTGCTCTTGTGGAATTCCGATTACATTGACAAGATGCTGTCCACTGTGGGCTTATTCTGGATACCTACAGCACAACGAGCGCGAACATCACTTCGTCCATTTCATCCAGCGAACATGGGCCGGTTCAATAATTTTCTCGTTCTCTATCCACATATTTAAAGGCAAGCCCTACAAATGTGGACGGCACTGAGAAAAGACAGACCTCACAGAAAAGCCTGTGGGAAGGGCTGCACCCTAAGAAAATCCGACTACCCCAGACGATCCTTCCACTGGAATCTGCTACGGAAGAAGAGCCATGGATGGAACTCTACGACCAGCACAGTGGGACAGGCCGATCTTCCGATACATCGCTACTGAGGCGGCGTTGGACCACGCCAGCATAACCCGAGACCGGATGGCGGATCTCCTGGAGTGGAGTAATGTCGACGCATCCGCGAGAACAGTTTAGTCCGGCTGTCAGAGCTGTTTGCCCCAGAGTCGTCCAGGGCCGGTGTGGGAACATGGATGTGGCCCTCCAGTCCAGACTCAAGAGCATGACACAGGCCCTCCAGCATTAGCGCGACCTTTCCTGGGCTCCTCCGTCTCCTGCGGAAGAACGGCCGGCGGTTGACTGATATTCTTAGCACGCGGGATTGTCTGGATGCGGGGGGGATCACACCAGATAATAAGACGAGCTGGTTAGCCCTCGACATTGACGCTGTAATCGAGGGGTCTTCCCGCTGGAAGAAAGTCCGGGAAATCATTGAGAATATGAATAAGGAAGAAGAAAGCGGCGCTTCCGGCAAGATTCTCATCATCTCGCAGTATCCCGCAGTGGTGCTTATCCTGTATCTTGTTCGTCCCCCTCTTTGCTTTGTTTTTTTTTTTTTTTTTTTTTTTTTTTTTTTTTTTTTTTTTTTTTTTTTTTTTTTTTTTTTTTTTTTTTTTTTTTTTTTTTTTTTTTTTTT